TAGCCGCGGCGCACTCGAGCTGACCGCGGAACACGGCGGATCAGCGGCCAAGGCTGCGCGGCGGCCGTTCGGCGCATGCGATCCGTCGCCGTCGCCGCGTCCGTCGACCGATCGCCGTTCCGTCGTTGTTGGGGGCTATTAATGACGGGGGAGTGGCGCTGGCAGCGAGGACGGGCGCAGCCGCCGACGCTGCGCTGCCCGCGGCGTCAGCGGCTCAGCACCACGGCGCCGCGTCTGCCGGCCGTGCCGCAGCTGCGCCATTCCAGCCGAGGCGTTGGCCGGCGCGCGCGTCGTGCGGCCGAGGCCGACTTGCGCGGCCGCGCCAGTCCCACGGTCCCGCAGCCGGGAGCGAACGAACGCACGCCGCGCACTGAGCAGCCGTCGCCGCGGCCGACAGCGGACGACGTCGTGACGCCCTTACGTCACCACGTCGCCGCGACGTCGACACGCGCGCGAGCCGTCCCCCGACGCGTCGGTCGGGCGACCGGGCGGGCGCACGTGGCGCAGCCCCCACGAGCGGGGCGGCCTTGGCAGCGGCGGCGCGGCAGCCCTGGCCCCGCGGCCGGATGCGGTCCGCCACGATAGTGGCGGCAGCGGCGGCGGCGCCACAGCGAAGCCTGTCGCCTGAATCCGACTCCTCGTCCACGTGAATGCGGCCGGTTCGCTTCGCTCGACACACCCCCATCCGCTTACTGGACATGTGACCAACGCGTGAGCTCCCTCCGTGTCCCGGGCAGGGATGCGACACGTTCGCGGCCTTACAAAATGATGACATTCAGGGATGACATTCAACTGGCTAAAACTAGTTTCTGCAGCTTTGAAGTTCTGACAGCTGGAACTGGCAGGAAATGGCACAAATTCTGAAGGTCAAACAAAATAACGGGAATGTTTCAAATCTGAAGATGGCGAACCAAGCATCAGATACGATGCAATAAGCTCGCGTAGAGCTACTTGTATGCTACAAAGTGAAAAAGACTTCTGTAGATAACATATTGTCTTTGTTTAGTAAGATGCTCCTCAATACGTCATTGCTTGATTACGTTACCGTATCCTGTATAACACTGATTGAGAGCCAATTGATGGCCGTGATATCTTGAAATCGTGCCCATTAACGCCAGATATGAACGACTCGACAATTACAGTTTTCTTGGCCTTGATCGTCGCATGGCTAATGGAAAGGGAGAACTTGAACGGTGTTAATATGACGTCATGGATGCCTGGGTGACTTCAAGTAGTCTCTTCGTAATAGGTTGCAGTCTGCGAGCGGGCAGCTCACAATTTACGGGGGATCAGGTCTTAAGAATGGCACGGCTGTGAACTGCATCGCGTGAATTCAGGATGGCCCTTTCAGTTCAAAACACCATACAAATGTGCTTTCAGGATGGCTTTTTCAGTTCAAAACACCATGCAAATGTGCTTTCAGGATGGCTTTTTCAGTTCAAAACACCATGCAAATGTGCAACGCTCCCTTCAACATCCATGTTTCCATGTCACTCAGGAACAGTCCAATCGTGCCAACAGATGTTTCTTTTTAGTTGCGGAATCCGCCACAGCACACCCATACATCAGCACGGCACAGACATGCCGCGTGGTTGCTATAGTAGACGGCTGACGCTGCGCCCTATGGTCCATTGTTATACTTTGTGTTATAGACTACTGAAACAACCGCCTTCAAGTTGCCATGTAAGCAGCTGCCCTTCCAGGCGTAGATCGATTCCGCTGAACGTCGTCAGTACATCATGCATATACAGGCAAAGAGGATAACACCAGCCTCGCATCCTATTTGCATGCTAGCTAACACGGAACATTCTGGATGTGAAAACGATACAAATCTAACATACAAAATAATAGCAATTCGTGATACATTTTAGCATTTGAAATTGACCCCAGCCAGTCGATTAGATGGCAGCTTCCCAGTATATGTCGCCTCGTCGCTACGTTGACTTCATTTCTCATTTGTTAAAAATGCATCCTATGCCTTGGATATCTGCCACCCATATACAGCCATCAGATGCATCACAACGTACCAGATGTATACCGAAATTATAAATACAGTGAGGCAAGCTGCTGCACAACCCAGCATCGCAAGGAAATGAAGCAACTGAGACAACCGACACAAAGTGCGCAAGGAAGCACACACAAAAGCATACGCATACGGTGATAGAATTTACAACAAAAAAACTGCACACTTCGCCGGATCAATGTTAACAGGGCATGACAGCGCTGGGCAATAGCCACTCGACAATTGCGTAACTTTATTGTGACCGCATAGCAAAGGAATGCCGGTCATTTTGACCGCGCTGCGCTGAATTACATGCGGGTCAATGCCACTCCCTCGGCACTGCTCACAGCGACGACGGACGGCTCGCCGTCTGAGCATGCCGCGCTCGATGGCGCTCAAGCACGGTTCGTCTGAACATGCCGCGCTCGATGGCGCTCAAGCACGGTTCGTCGGCACCGTTCAGCTTCCATGCACGCCAGGAAAGATACTAGGTGTGCAGGGTTAGCTTCGTGATCCCTGGTGTGACAAAGCACCACATCTAATCTGTGTGTCACTGCCTGATCCACACCCTGCATGGAGCTACATCACAGAAAAACGTAGTCCTATTTTCACTATTCACACCTGTCAGCAGCCAGGCACAACTATTGTTGTGCCTGTCTGCTGACACGAGCTGGGGCAGCGGTCGAGTTGGTCCATCCGAAAGTTTTTCCGGAGTGATTTCCGAACGGCACGGCGTAGCCGCACCAAATTTTGCATAGCTGTAGGCAATTGAACAGATCTTTTGGTATCAAGCGTTTAGAAGTACTTTGTAAGGTTACTGACCCATGGCAGGTCAAATTTAGGCCATGTATTCTGCGAATGCAATTTCTAGGGAATCGTTCAATTTGATGCAAACACAGAGTGTTAGGCGAAGCCACGCATCCCTGAGATAGTTTTTTTCGGCAGCACAGCAATATATTCACAAATTCCATTTACCTATGGTCAGGTATGAAGGTCAGGCCAAAGTCAAACTAACCTTTTTTACGCGACACCTGGCTTTCTGAGTTAGTTTTTGGCGTTCATGGCAAATTTATTAATGACACGGACCGCGGCAGACATTTTCATAGCCTTAATAAAGGTCATAATAGGTCATTGACCTAAAATGACACAGGTTAACATTTTGTTTTAGGAACATACCACCTTGCGTAATCGCTGACGCCGATTTGAATGACAAAATGGCAGCAATTTCAAAGGTTTTTGGTCACCTTGTCCTTATAAAGGTCAAACAAGGTCACTGGTCTTAAATTAAGACTATCAATTTTTTCTCAAAACAGGCAACTAGGTTCACGCCGGTTGCATGAGGATGCCTGGGGCACTTTGGACACCAATCTCGAGTTTGACCTTGTTTGACCTTATCTGACCCCGTCATGACCTCAGAACTTCACTTTTTGACACGAGTGAGTTCGCTACAGGCCAACCCAAGCTAAAAATTTGGCGTCTCTAGCTGCTTTAGTCTCCGAGATCTCCGAGGGTCGATTAACCTCCCAACCGAGCGAAGGGTATTCAACCGGCCACCCGGGCGCGTATTAAATGCCGACATCAGATCACATGTTATCCATACTTTGTACTCTTTTCGCCTAAATATGTATGAGCCTGCCTGTTAACTACCGACATCAGAAGCATGTTATTCATCCTTGGAACACAACACTGCAGTTACACCGCCAAACTCATGAGGATGTGGTTGGCGCCACGCACCACATTAAAGTGCATTAAATTTTGATCCCAAGTCATGAAAGAAAGTTTCGTCACTTTGGGATGCCCCCTCGAATTCCTACAGCTCGTTAGCATGGCTACAAACCTTTACAGAATTTGCAATTATCTACTGCGTGAGGCTGACATATCCATCGCACGAAGCACAATGCTTCCCGGTGATATCAAACAAACGATGAACACTTATTTTAACGACAATTTATGGCGAGAGAACAGTGGTGCATTTGGTCTAACTAATGGACATCCACCACCCTGTGCCACATGGGAGGCACTCCCAGTCCTGTCCCATTGTGTCAGGTCCCGTGCGGCGCCGTCCCGTCCGTGCCTGGTCTATTATCCACCACCCTGTGCCACATGGGTGGCACTCCCAGTCCTGTCCCATTGTGCCAGGTCCCGTGCGGCGCCGTCCCGTCCGTGCTTGGTCTATTATCCACCACCCTGTGCCACATGGGTGGCACTCCCAGTCCTGTCCCATTGTGTCAGGTCCCGTGCGGCGTCGCCCCGTCCGTGCTTGGTCTATTCCAATCTTGCTCGGTCCCGTCCACGCTCATCACGCTCCATTTGGTCTAACCAATGGACATCCACCACCCTGTGCCACATGGGAGGCACTCCCAGTCCTGTCCCATCGTGTCAGGTCCCGTGCGGCGTCGCCCCGTCCGTGCCTGGTCTATTATCCACCACCCTGTGCCACATGGGTGGCACTCCCAGTCCTGTCCCATTGTGTCTTGTCCCGTGCGGCGTCGCCCCGTCCGTGCCTGGTCTATTATCCACCACCCTGTGCCACATGGGAGGCACTCCCAGTCCTGTCCCATTGTGTCAGGTCCCGTGCGGCGTCGTCCCGTCCGCCCTTGGTCTATTATCCACCACCCTGTGCCACATGGGTGGCACTCCCAGTCCTGTCCCATTGTGTCAGGTCCCGTGCGGCGTCGTCCCGTCCGCCCTTGGTCTATTATCCACCACCCTGTGCCACATGGGTGGCACTCCCAGTCCTGTCCCATTGTGTCAGGTCCCGTGCGGCGCCGTCCCGTCCGTGCCTGGTCTATTATACACCACCCTGTGCCACATGGGTGGCACTCCCAGTCCTGTCCCATTGTGTCAGGTCCCGTGCGGCGCCGTCCCGTCCGTGCTTGGTCTATTATCCACCACCCTGCGCCACATGGGTGGCACTCCCAGTCCTGTCCCATTGTGTCAGGTCCCGTGCGGCGTCGCCCCGTCCGTGCTTGGTCTATTCCAATCTTGCTCGGTCCCGTCCACGCTCATCACGCTCCATTTGGTCTAACCAATGGACATCCACCACCCTGTGCCACATGGGAGGCACTCCCAGTCCTGTCCCATTGTGTCAGGTCCCGTGCGGCGCCGTCCCGTCCGTGCCTGGTCTATTATCCACCACCCTGTGCCACATGGGTGGCACTCCCAGTCCTGTCCCATTGTGTCAGGTCCCGTGCGGCGTCGCCCCGTCCGTGCCTGGTCTACTATCCACCACCCTGTGCCACATGGGTGGCACTCCCAGTCCTGTCCCATTGTGTCAGGTCCCGTGCGGCGTCGCCCCGTCCGTGCCTGGTCTATTATCCACCACCCTGTGCCACATGGGTGGCACTCCCAGTCCTGTCCCATTGTGTCAGGTCCCGTGCGGCGTCGCCCCGTCCGTGCCTGGTCTATTATCCACCACCCTGTGCCACATGGGAGGCACTCCCAGTCCTGTCCCATTGTGTCAGGTCCCGTGCGGCGTCGTCCCGTCCGCCCTTGGTCTATTATCCACCACCCTGTGCCACATGGGTGGCACTCCCAGTCCTGTCCCATTGTGTCAGGTCCCGTGCGGCGTCGTCCCGTCCGCCCTTGGTCTATTATCCACCACCCTGTGCCACATGGGTGGCACTCCCAGTCCTGTCCCATTGTGTCAGGTCCCGTGCGGCGCCGTCCCGTCCGCGCTTGGTCTATTATCCACCACCCTGTGCCACATGGGTGGCACTCCCAGTCCTGTCCCATTGTGTCAGGTCCCGTGCGGCGTCGTCCCGTCCGCCCTTGGTCTATTCCAATCTTGCTCGGTCCCGTCCACGCTCATCACGCTCCATTCGGCGCCATCCTGGACAGGAAGGGGCCGTGTGGTCCCTCTCCGCCCTTCATGATTTCTGCCAGTGACGTCCGGGCCCGTTTCGTGCCATCCGGTACGTCTGGTGCCATCCGGTCCCGTCTGGTCTCACCACGCTCCATCCGGTTCCGTCCGATCGCGTCCGGTCCAGTTCGGCTCTGTCCGATCCCATCTGGTTCCACTTCGTCCTCTCGGTTCCGTGCGGAACCCTTGCCGGGTTGGCAGTGGTTTTTGTTTTTGCGACATCGTCATACAGTCAGCTAAAAGCGTCTTAGGTCTTCATCTTTACAAAATCAACGGAAAGCTCTATCGCAGGATCACGCGTCGGTTGATTTGATCCGGCTGGGGGACAGATGTGTGGCAAAGCGTAGTTCATTGTTAATACATGGTTAATGCGCGTAAACGAAGGTGCTAGAAGCATTCAAAAATGCCTTATGTATCCTCTGATGTCGTTTGTTATTTATTTATACCGTTTCAGGATGTGAGGCCTGCGTCTGCGATGCCCACACGGCGTCATTGCACCAAACCAAAGCCCAGTCAGAATTGCTTTTTCATTTGCCAAAAATATGGTAATTCTTCACATCGTTGATCGCCTTAAGCTGTCATTCACTTTCTCTGCTTTGAATCTGCATCATTCAGGTCAAATGACTTCATTTCTCCAACGACTTAAAGGATTTCTGACTTGTTCCAGTTCTTTTGTTTTCTTGGCTTTTACGCCACTCTTTAAAAATTCCTTGCCATTATACCGTTATTTAATAAAAAAAACTTGCATGTTGACATGGCATGTGCATCAACTTCTACACACTATCCTCTAACACATTCACAGTCGCTTTGGCCGTGAAAGTTAGTATAGCCATAGCCATAACACCTGTGGTCACATTCTCTGCCTATGATGATGCATAAATTATGCACTAGGTTGTGTTAGGATGGGGCACTTTGTTTAAGCAAAAAGTTGCGATGACATATGGCTGTCGAAAGATCTTTCGGGATCTATGATGTTGTATTTTGGTATCATGGATCTGAGTTTAAATTTTGTCGAAGGAACTTCTGGGATCCAAGATCTTTTGTGAAAACTTGTCGAATTATCTTCTGGAATCTTGGATCTGGAGACTTTTTCAAGCGATCTTCTCGATTTTGGACCTTTCTCATGTCTTCCAGGCACATGTCTGCATGGCAGCACTGGGAAAATTTCCCCAGCTAACGTTGAATACGTTGGACATGTTCTGAATCCAAAAGCGTGGCATGTCAGCTTATCTAACAGAGCTATCACCAGCAGCGTAGCAAGCCTTGCGCCCAGGAGGAAAACAATACGGGCAAAGGGCGCCCACTTCGTCGAAAAAGGGGTCCCGTTTTTATCCGTGATTCCACTTTCATGCCTCCACGGTCCGTTTTTGATGTTCTAGAAGGTCTACGGGAGTTGTTTACACCCAAAATTCTTAGGGCCTTCAAACCCAGGGGGCTTCGCTACCTCCATGGGGGGGGGGGGGCATGCTCTCTCCACTGGCGACTAACTGACCATGACTGCATGATGGCGTTTACCTTTTTATCTCGTCCGCCATTTTTGCTCCGCTTAGCTTTGTCGCGGTTAAACGAGGGCAGTGGCAAATTCTGACCTTAGCTCGGTCTTTACCCACTGTGTCCAATTAGTCTGTTTCAGATATTTATGTTACCATTTGTCTTCAAAATTGACCGTATGCATCAGAAAGCAGCACTTTTATGCGTTTTGTTCCGTGCATTAAGTGACTGAGCATGGAAGGTTACTTATACACGAATGGGTCAGGCCGGATAACATTAGATTTCTCACATAACCCACCGTCAATGGCCCCTCTTCAATGGCCTCTGGCCTTGATCATCTGGCTACAGCTCAGTTAGAGAGAGCAAAGCGTTGCGCGGTGCCCAGCCCCTTTATCTGGCGCGCGAGCGAGTGCTGCCGCCGGGTGAGGGCTACCATGTCTGCGACGGGCAACGCCGTCCAAAATAATCGGACGCAGTAAAAAAAAAAACGATCACGTAGGGAGTCACCACAGACGTCACGCATACATTACATTTGGGGACTAAAGAGCAGCACGCGTGGCACACCAGACAGTTGGCACCGACCGGGCGAGGTGTCGCTTGCGGTGCAAACCTGGCTGGCGACGCGGACGGGTTATCAGGCGGCGATAACAGACGACACCGATAGCCAGGGATTGGACCCCAGTCTAAACAGCATGACATGTGACTTTGGTGTGTGTGGGATGACTAAGAGATCTCATAATATGGTAAAATCCTTTACCTTGTTATGCTATGGTCACCATCAATACATGTGCAGTTGATGGTGATCATTGCATTGCGGTCACTATCAACTCCCAGACGCATACGTGGGAACTGATGGTGACCAAAATGATCGGCATCAATTTTTCCATTTACGATATGCTTTCCTACCCTGCCAAATGACACACAATGAAAGACAAGTCGACGACTGACCGTAGTCGGATTGTGGTATCCTTTCGGTGCCACAGAATGGCCCAACATAAGTAAGCACGCTATTTTTAATCTCTAAAAGCAGAGGTGCGATGCGCACTACATCTGAAGGCTCTTGTGAACCAGAATCGTGGCCAAGTATGAGACGGTTGGGTCCGGGGCATCCTTGGATTTTTCAACCAGTATATACACAGAAGTAGGGATGCCGTTCATACAGTGGTTACTTTTGTATGTTACGCCTTTCACAGGATATTTTCATGTACAAGGGCATAATAAACACGAATTTAAGCCATCAGTTGGACCCATCCACATAGAACGAAGGTCTTAAAGTCTTCAACTATTCATCAACCATGGCTCGTTGCGGCTGTAAAGAGATTCAAATGGGGATTGCAGCCCACCTTCCGGGTGGACTGCAATCACACTATGAGAGAAATGATTGGGCTACACTCCTTTTTAAGCAAGATTTTGTCCACCCATCATTTTCCATCAATTGGGTTCTTACCAGCTAACCACAGCCACTGCATCTACCTATGGCACCAGACAAGTGAAAGCAATGCCAGACTCGACACTCCATCATAAGCGGCAAGTCTGAGCACGTCTGATCAACTGTCCAGGCCTGCCCTCTCGCATCGGTCATCCCCGGCACGCTAATACCTCCGTCCACCGAGCCGCGATTACAGGGGTAGAGCGGGCGGCAGGGGCCTGCAAGCGGCCTTTCTTATGGGCCAACGACCTCCATTCTGCCACCCTTCAGGGGAGGAGCGGCCAAACACAATGGGTGCGTTTACGGGACACTGCACATGGAATGTGCATCCTTCCAAACAGAAGTGCTTCGGTTTGAGCTGTCACGAGGAGCGCACTAGCGCGCGCGTCCTGGTTGGCTGACAGTAAACATTGGGATAGCATCTTGCCGCGCATTTTGCAGCGCAATCAACTGGGCGACCCAACATTTTTTCTGCTCATTGCATACATTCGAAACCCTATATTCGATTCGGACCATTTCATTCAAGCTCTTCTTTGCCGATTGTAATGATTTACACATATTACACAACTGTGTAATCGAGAACCAGCGATAACATGACTATTCCATTGCAAGCTATGTTAAGGACGGAGATATAAGATACCTCTAACCATATTATGCATGGTCTGGTAATGTAACTTGCTCAGCAATAATAGATGCATGTTCAAGCCGCAGCGCCATTTTTCCGGGTTCATCTAACACGCGTTCAGGTGGGGTCAATTTGCCCCCCCCCCCCCGAAGGTTTTTTCAGAATGGTTTCCGAACGGTGCGGCATAACCGCGCAAAATTTTAGAAGCTGCAGACAACTGAATAGCGGGTCGTGTGGTGTTAAAAAAATAGATTTACTATATAAGGTCGCTGCCTGCGGCAGGTCGTCACCATGGACTCAGCGAGGTCACTTTCCAGGAAATCGTTCAATCTGCTGCAACAATGAAGTGTTAGACGTGGTCATACGTCTCCGAAATACTTTCTTCCGCAACACAACAATTAAATGAACAAGTTTCATTGGCCTAGGGTCAGGTATGAGGGTCAGAGCAAGATCAAACCAACATGTTTTATCCCTCTGAGGCTTGCTGTATGGAGTAGTTTCTGGCATTGTTTTGAATTTATTGATAGCAGGAACCATATTATACATCCTCCATGGACTTCCTAGAAGTTAGAATAGGTCACTGACCTAAAATGACCAACTTCAGCACTTCCTTTAGGAACATACCACCTAGCATAATCTTCATGGCTTATTCAAATGCAAAACCCAAAGCAGTCTTGTATGATTTTGGCCACTGTGACTTTGAAGGTCAAAAAGGTCACTGAACTTAAGAGAGCATGCAAAATTTTGCTTAGAATATGTATCAAGGTTCTGAGGGCACCTTGAATGGCAACCTGAGTTTGACCTTGAGTGTGATCTTGTTTGATTTTATTTGACCCAATGGTCATGATCTAGAACCCTAAAACTTTGACACAAGTGAGTTTATATCCAGCCCACATACCTTGTGAATTTGGTGTCTCTAGCTCTCCTAGTTTCTGGGGTCCAGGTGGTCAAATTAACCCCCACCCCCACCTGAGCAAAGGGCATCCAACTGGCTACCCAGGTGAGTATTAATAAAAGGATATTATGTTGTCATATGCAAAACAAATTTAAAGAAGTTAAAGTATCATTAAAAATATTTGCCAGAATCACATGCAGTTATTCTGTGCAGGCCCATATTTGTGCAACAGCCCCCACAAACCATTTCTCCAACAACCAGACTGATTATTATCAACTACTGTTCAACATAGCATGCCATTTTGTTGGCTGTGGTACATTACCACCACTGACTTGAACCTTGATGTACCTTACATACAATATTGATAACCTCAGAGCACATAACTCATAAAATAGTGCGGGACAACCAGCACCATGAGGCCTCCCCTAACATTGCATGACATATGGCATTTCATCAGCATTCAGAGAAGCATATTCTCAGATGACCACATGTTCAAAACCTCATGATCAGAATACAGATAAATAAATATAACTAAATGCACATGTATTAGTGAATATTGTTTCAGCAGCCTTGGAACATAAAACAATATTCCCCAGCATACACAAACTTTCATGCACTTATTGACTACAGAACAATTAAAACATCTTACCAACATGTTTACTTTGCTTCCTATAATGGTCATGGTAAAAATCATATCCAACCTAATATAATCCAAATGTTAAAAATTGTTGAACTGATGATAACATAGCCAAAATCTAAATATTTGTCAAAAAATGACAGCATATTATTTTTGGTGACAACTCAAGATCATTGTTAAAATCCATATGTATGAAAGATTTCAGCATGAAGTAACCTCACCAGTATGAAATGATCTTATCATTTCTAGATTCCTACCTGCAGAGCCTTTCAAAAAAAAAGAAAACTCTGTGGAAAATAGCATTATGGGCCATGGATTCCCAATGGCTAAAACTGTTCACACACATGGTGATCATTACATATTATTAATATTTATTTATGGACATCCTAACTGTCAAGGTGACCTGCAAAAGGTGAGTGACAAACATTATAGCACAGCTGTGTGGAGTGAACTATTCATCCCACAAGCATGATAGTATTTAACTTGCAATATAATTTAGTATATACACAGGTATTTTGTAGGGTAGGTCTACATACTCCCATGGTTGATGATGAAATTATTCAGCCTGCAGCATACAGTCTTTACCACTCCAATTACCATTTGAAAGGAGTATTAGAAAGATTAGTCTACATCAATCAATACATCACCTTTGCAGAACAACTGAAAGTAAGTAGCATGCCATGCAAGAAACTTATATGTGTGAGGGTGATGGTTTAATGCACCTCCCACAAGAAAAAAAATAATAAATTACATTTCATATGATCTGACCTGAGAACATCTGTCCACTGCGTGAGACTTCTACATGAGTGAGCTAAATGTCATGTCAGCATGTACCAAACCCAGGCAAAAATATGTTCAGAGCATGCTTCCCTACAATTATTGTGGCAACGCTATTTCTTGAAACATAGGCCACTGATGAAATATTCTCTGAAATCTGTGGTGATCATGTGCCAAGCTCTGAGCACCCATGTATGGAGCATACAGGCACTGAAATTATTGTGTGAGTGTAATTGATATGCAAGACATGTTTGATGAATGTATATTTTTGCAGTTTGAGCTGAGTAAAAGAAAATGGAGGCAAAGCAGAATCAGCCTCACACCATGCAAGAGCTTGGCGGGAGGCACACATTGGGGATGGTGACACCTCAAAAAGAGAATCAAGGAAACAGTACAATAAACTACAGTCATGTGGCCAAAAATAATGAATAACTGCCTGCCTTACCAACAACAGGCACGAATCAATTGATACTTTATTAGGTGCGAATCTATTCGACTTGTGTGCAGGATTTCATAAACTTGGCATCAATCCAAAAGATGCACAAAAAGTGCACATCAAATGCAGCAATAACAACTGGAACGAAAACTACATGTGCTTACCTTGATTGTGTCCCTGGACGTTGCCGACCATTTGGCAATATATTTCCACGACACTGAATATCAAGAAAATGTCTGCCAGACATTTGACACCCATATTGCCTCACATTAGTCCAAAAGATATCGACGAAAATGATATCCCGCACCAATCATGCGCCCTCCCACACTGCACTGCCAAACACGCAATCCACCCTCACACATGTAACAGCGATGATCAAGGTTCTGCGATAAAGTTTCCGTGTTATGTATTGATTGCAGTCTAGAGTTCAGCTGGCTAATAGATCTGAAATACTGTCCTAATACTACTGACTGCGCTCCTAAAGTGCCCGTTATGCATTTAGAGGTTTTCAGTGCTGTTTTGGAAACTAATTAATTAACCGATGGTAATATGAGCGTGGATTCGCCGCTAAATTATCCTGCGACGGATCAACTGAGGAAAAGCGGATTTCGAAAACGCACCTATGCTGAAATTTGACGAGGACAGGTCTATGATGCAATTATACGGCCAAAACACGATTCCGGCATGTGATGGGGCCATGCAGCAACATCTATCTATGCATACGGTGCACAGCTAAGGAGCTGGGAGCAGGTGACAACACGCAATGACATCATGAACCCTATTTTTCAACTTACTCTAGCCAATACAGCCGGAGGCGCGGGAACTGTGTTCAAGTTGAGGTGGGGGGGGGAGGGGTGGACAAACTCCAAAATGTCTGAATTGCCCCCTAAAATTGGATGGTGGGCCTCTGCAAGACCGAATGGTTCCTTAAAATTAATCATGGGCCTTTGACAGGTCAGAATGGGTCTCCAGTTCATAACGAGTCTTGTACAGGTCAGAATGGGCTCACTAAAGGTTCTGAAGTGCCCTCTTGATCAAAAGGGGCTCTATGTAGGTCAGAATTAACCCTCAATAGGTCAGAATGGATTCTACCAGGTTTATGCAATCTCTGGATAGTTGAGAATCGGCCCTTAACGTACCAGCATGGGTCCTGCACAGGTCCTCCAAGTTGGAGGTGAGGGTGACGCCCAGCAGCTTTGAAGTTGGGGCGAGCCACATGAGCTGCCCCCCCCCCCCCCTCCGTTTCCGCGTCATTTAATACGTTTGGGGGCATAATGCTGGGAATGGGGCATCGAAAAGATAAATACCTATATTTGAAACATGGTACAGTGTCACATTGAAGTTTAACTAGGTACATATCAGGACCTTAACACGCGCTCCGGTTGGGGGGGGGTCAAAATGACCCCCCCCCCGAGGGTTATTCGGGAATGGTTTCCGAGCGGCACGGCGTTTCTGCGCCGTGTTTTGCATAGCTGTAGACAATTGAAGAGCGGATCGTATAGTATACAAAATTTAGATGTACCTTGTGAGGTCTCTGACCTATGGCAGGTCAAAGTCAGACCACGGTTTCAGCGAAGGCAATTTCTGGGGATTTGTTCAATCTGATGCAACAAAGTAGTGTTTGACGAAGCCATACATCTTCGAGATGTTTTCTTAGGCAACACAAATATTGAATGAGCAAACTAAGCTGGCCTAAGGTCAGTTATGAAGGTCATACCAAGCTAAAAACCAACCTGTATTATTACCCTAGGGCTTGCTGTATGGTATAATTTCTGGTGCACATTTCTTCACTTGTTTGATAGCAGGAATCGCATTATGCATCTTCCATTGATTTTTTAGAGGTTAGAATAGGTCATTAACCTAAGATGACCCAGGCCAACATTTTGTTTTTAGGAACACACTGCCTAGCGCAATCTTTGTCGCTCATTAAAATGCAAAACTCAGAGCAGCATTGTATGATTTATGTGACCACGGTCTTCGGAAGGCCAAACAAGGTCACTGATCTTAAGTGAGCTCGTGACCTTTTGCTTAGAAACAATTATCTGGGTTTTGGTGTATTTTGCAGACAAGCCTGGAGTTTGACTTTGTTTGACCTTATTTGACCCGAATGTCATGACCTAGGAACCACAAACTCTGACCTAAGTGAGTTGACGTGCAGGTCAACGCACCCTGTAAATTTGGTGTCTCTAGCTTCCCTAGTTCCCGATATTTCAGGGTTCAAGTTGACCCTCCCCCTCCCCCCACCCGAGCGAAGGTCGGGTGGGGGGGGGACATATATAAAGCGTTTGTTAACTAAACGTTGTTTCCATAAATCCGGCCCCCGGGCGCGTGTTAATTGATATTTGACCGAAAATTTGCTAGGAAAAATTTGGTGCCTTCTATTTTCTTAAACAGACATGCAATTGGAGACCAATTCATCGTTATTCAGACAACAAAAAGAAATCGATTAGATCTCTTGTAGTTTAGTCGCCAATCGAACATGAATCTTTGGGGGAAAACGCATGGCGGCACGCCATAAGCCAACTGGTCGGTATCGGCTGACCGGTCGCGATCTCCTCACTATGTCGGGAACTCTGACCACGCACTGAAGCCAACAGGGACTCTGGAGCAATGCATAAATGAAGAATGCATTTTGATCGACCTTACGTTCATGTCATCCGTCTCGAGTCACGTAGATAGAGAGCTTAATTAAAGAGCAAAAGTATGGTGTGCAGCCATATATCATGAGGTCAAAAGTGTTCGCTTATCGCACGTTATGTCGCTGGTCATTTGTGCTTGCCAGTTGATATGAGTTCATCAAAGCAAAACAAACAGAATCAAATCTTGATGGCTTGCTCCGCACCGTAGGTTTTGTACAATTAAGTCACTACGATGAATGTCTCACGCCTCAGTCAATCCTCACGAAATTACTTTGGATGTTCGCGCAGGTATCTTCGTTGATGTAACTGCAACTGAGGCTGTTTCCTCAGGTTTGATGACGACTGTAGCAATGTGATGACGACTGTGTGTTCCTTCCAGTGTTCGTGCGTTGTTTTTTTCAACTGTATTCTGGGCGTTGCTCCGTTTTGCGGATATCGTCAGCTGTCTCATAGCTGAAAAGTACGCCTACAAATGAAAAGAAAACATGTTCAACCAAGTCAATTGCAAATCAAATTACAGGATTATGCGAAGGCAGAGCGTGCGCGTAACAGATAAGCCATGATCGAAACAACAATATTTTTATTTCTCCGTGCTGTGCTCTGTTGAGCGAAACATAAGCTGCGTCCATAATTTATATGTTCACCGCCCAGCCATGTGGTCGTCGGTGCGGCAGCTTAGCATGTGGTGTGACGCTTTGATTTGGTCCTGCGCTGTGCATTGTAAATTCCCATACCTTGTCAAGCGTTTGGCGGTCCTCCCCCCCCCCCCCTTCGATGCGTGAAGCTTTCCAATGCAATGTTGTGTAGAAATGCAATACGCTTTAGAGCCCGCATCCTCGGCATGGTGACACATGTTGAGGATGTTATATCTGTTTTATACCAGGTCAGGCTATCTATGACAATAGGTAAATCAATGAACGTGTCTTGAACTTAACAGAAACTTTTCAGCACCTTTTTCTGACTAGCGCATGCTGCGGCTTTTGAATGGGCACAACTATCACGGATGATACAGATAATTTTGCTGACGGGGTCATAAGCCGTTTTGAAGCAGCGGTACGAATAGATGCATGTTTCTAAACCGCTACTCGCTGAGGAGGTTTTCCTCCATGGTAACTATAGACTGCGTCTTGTGCAATAAAATAACAATTTTCGAGATAACAAAACGGTGACCAACGGACAAGCGTTTTGTCATGCCTTTCGTGGCAGCACCCAGCATCCTTCGTGCATTCCTGAGCCGTTGCGTTTTCAATAGTCTCCTGCAACGGCAAGCAACTAATTCATCAGCGCGGTACCGTTGTCAGCCTGACAAGTAAATCGAACATATGCTAATAAGTTGTGCTGAATTCTTCCGCACAGATTACTGCACACGAATGCCACAATTATCATTATTGCACCCAAACAGCACACACAGACGCGCGGCACGGCACAGCGAATTCGCCCCTCTCCTGTTGAGCATTCACATGGACGAATAAATAAAACTGCCCCCACATGTACGGACAGAGATTTCTCCAGCGGTACACATTGTTGTGTGTAATTGTTTCAAAGAAATATTAAAGTCATGATCGCGAAAATCACGAATAACGAATCAATCAAGAATCGCGGATCATGGTCTCGCTGCCGGGCTCGCAGTTACGTGGCTGAGCTCGATCCTGAGCTGGGCTGAGCTGGGCTGAGCTGAGCTGAGCTGAGCTGAGCTCGATCCTGCTGTCGATCCCGAGCTTGTGTCCATGCATTGATTCTGTGGATCCGACACACTCACTCGTTGGCGAAGTTGTATTCGTATTTGAAACGGCGGATGGCTGTGCTTTTTCGAACTGCCCGTACGCGATTCATCCCCAATTTCTCCCGCCAAACTCCTGTTTGTTCCTTCGTTCTTCAGCTAAAGTCACTTTACGGGTTTTCTCAGCTTGGCACGGACATTCTGCACATTGAAACAAGTAAAGAAGCTAACAGCCCTTGTTCGTGATGATGGGAAATGGTTTGCATCGCACTCGCCGTGATATGTCAGCGTCACGGAAACAATTTCTTCTCCGAGTATTTTCAACCGATTCTTTTAATTGAGCATTCCCTAAAGGCACTTGGTAAAAGAGCAGCAAAAATCCTGGTAATGGCATTCAACAGATCTAAACTGGCCATCAATTCACACTATTTTACAAAAAATAAAGGCACCATGTTTCAGAAATTGGGGTTACATATTAAACTATGTCATCAAATGTATCCATTTGACTCTGTCTGTAGATTTTTCGGTTTTCGTTTATCTACGCGAGACTTCAATAGGTCGATGATGGCTCCAATGATGGTTTTTGGTTGGGTGAGATGGGGCAAAAGATCCCCTAGTTTCATAAAAAAACATCATACTTTTGGACTGAGGTAAGAAATCGGATCAACTTAAGCATCAGTGGCAGGCTCAGTACAATTTCTCGCACTGAATAATAATCCATAGGGAGTTGATGATGTTTTAAAGGTCAACAATTGTCAAGTTATGCAAGTATGTAAAAAAGTTATTTGACTCCAGCTTGAGGCGACCCAACCCCCCCCCCCCCCTGCACTGGGGCAAAGCGCTCCCCCCCCCCCATGAAAGTTTATCTTTGACACTATATACCAAAGCGTTCATTTCAACCGCGTATCGCAAAAAACATCAGCCTTAAGATGTGAGCAATTCAAGCCCTTCTTAAAATGTTCATGTGCGCTTTCTGTTCCGCCTTCATTTCATGAAAA